GCTCACGCCACAGAAAGGAACCATGGGAAATTTGAATAGCCAAGGTCATAGGGTCAAAGTTTGGCTGATTAGCTTCCATGGTTAGACCCTGTTAACAGATGACGTATATGTGCATTTGCGTATGGCTCAGGTGATTGGCTCAGGAACATAATAACTAGGAAGCAAACCAAATAAGGGAGTCACTGATGAATACATTAAAAATTCAATTTAAAATGAATTCATGGAAATGCTCTTTTTTGTATATTCATGTCATTTTTTTGTTATTTTGAAAAACGTATACACCACTTTAATAAGTTTAAATTGAATGACTCTACGAATGTCATGTGGTGTAACTATAATATAGAAAGTAGTAACATATTTTCCTTACACCTTGAGTACACATGAATATAGTGTTACTTTTTTATTTTTCATTACTTACATTTTTTAAGAAATACTTTTTGAGGTAAAAACTTTTTTTACACACATATATTAATATTACATTTTTGTGAAGTATAGCTCCACATGACTATTTACAACCTAAACTAAAAAGTTAAATTATCTTAAATTTTAAGATACTTGTTGATGTTGATACAGAGTAATGAGGATCCTTTTTATGATAGAATTTGCATATTGTATATATATATATATACAGTATACACACACACACACACACACAATATATATATATAATTTGCATACTGTATACACACACACACACACACACACACACACACATGTATATGAATTTCATTTTTAAATTCATGAATAAATCCAAAAAAACAAAAAAAACTGTCACATCAATGACTGTTACATACTATACTGTACTTCCTCCAGCCTGGCACCCACCATCGAGATTAATGGGAAGGCTAACAGTTCTCACCAGATATTTTTGGCCAAAACCAGTCCCACAATGAAGCCACAACTAATGCTATCATGAAACATTACTAGCCAATGACATTCCAGCAATGCCCCACAATTAGCACACAATCGACCCCTCCACACAAGAGACATGATCATTCCTGGCCTCATTTGAGCAGAAGAACAATTATATCTGCTACTTACAGTAAAGCGCTAAATTACACCCACTTTAACTGGCAATTAGGTGGAGGGCATTTCATGGATGACTGTTGCATTGGGAGCGTCATTAAAATATGTCGCCCGCTGTTAAATGGAAGAGCCAGTCACAGATGATATCTCATCAGGGGCTCTTTCTTGGCCGTCTAGGTGGCATGATTCACAGCGTGATGCAGGAGGGACCGTCCACGCCCCATAAAACCCTAACTCATAAATGATAACCGCCCAAATTATAGATAAGCATGGACATTTCGAACAGAGATAATACATCAGCGAGTGTGATTGATGAGCTGGAATTTGACCACTGATGAGACGGGGTTAAGAATTACTGTCAGCTAGCTTACTGACCAGAGCCTGAAGCAGTCGTGGTGCTTGATGAATGGCTTGCTGTGATTATACAAAGCATCGCAGTGGAGTGCCGGCCCAGCAGTACGACTTAAGAGTGAAAGATAGAGTTTGAGGTAAAATTGACCCAAAGGCATGCCCACAGTTCAGTTAAAGTCCACGCTCTGATCATATGAAGAAGCACACTGCACACAAAACTACATTTACATTTAGTCATTTTGCAGACGCTTTTATCCAAAGTGACTTACAATTGGGGAATACATAAAGCGATTCTTCTTAAAGAGGCAAACAGACACAGGAAGTGCTTGTAATACCAAGTTTTAGGCATTGTTCAAATAAGTACAAACTAGAAAGGGAAGTAATAAATAAAGAGAAAGACAACGTTTTTTTTTTACGTTTAAATTTAGGATGAAGTTAATGACAGTTAAACATTTAACCCAACTGTTGGTTGAAAACAACCCAATCGCTGGGTTTGTCCATATTTTACCCAGCGCTGGGTTGTATTTAACCCAGCATTTTTAAAATAGTTTTAAAAGTTGTGAATAAAAAAACAGCATAGTGCTGATATTATAGTTTTGTTTGAATCATGCATAAAAACTACACTCTAAAAAATGCTGGGTTCAGCCTGTTGGGTCATTTTATTGGGTTGTTTTTAATATTTTTACCAAGGTGCTGGGTAGTTTTTCTGTAACTAAGTTGCTGGGTCATTTTTAACGCTGGGTTATTTTATAAAGCATGTGTTCTTCTGTCCAATATTAACCCAGCACTGGGTTGCCAAATAACCCAAGTTGGGTTGTTTTTAACACAGCATTTTTTTTAGAGTGTAGACATCCATATGCAAAAGTGCATATTGCACTTTTTGTTTTTCCAAGTTGCACTACTGTTCAAAAGTTTGGGGTCAATTAATAGTTTCATTCAGCAAGAATGCAATAAATTTATCAAAAGTGCAGTAAATATTTTCACACCGTTACAAAAATATTCTATTTAAAATACATGCTGTTCTTTTGAACTTTCTTTACTCTAAAAAAAAAAAGGTTGGGTGAAAACAACTCAGCACTGGGTCAAATATGGACAAACCCAGCGATTGGGTTGTTGTGACCCAGTGGTTGGGATAAATGTTTAACCAAACCTTCTGGGTAGTTTTATTTAACTCAACTATTGCTTAAAAATTACTACAGTGTATTTCTAGCTTGAACTCAAATTAACCCAAAATAGGTTGGAAATTAATATTTATTAATATGTTCAATAAATGAACATTTATTAATAATTTGAATGAATAATAATTAAATAATAAACTATTTTAAACAGCTTATTAATAAATTGTCACCTTTTGATTATCGCTGATGCCTCTGTGTCGGATTTTTAATTTACAACCAATTTTGGGCCATTTTATTCATTTTAAGCCAGCCATATAGCCATTTTTAAATAGTAGCTGAGTTAAAGAAAACAACCCAGAAGGTTGGGTTTGAAGTGTAACAGGTTTGCTCTAACTTTTTACTTCATTGCTGGGTCAAATGTGCTCATTATAAAGGGAAAACGGAGAGTTCTTCCCTTCAGCTCAAAAGACTGCTGGGATCGCTTTCTGCTGTCCCGTGAGGTTGGTGTAAACAGGTCACCATCTCACTGAATAAAGAACTCCTCGTCCTTAAGGACAACACATACCTGGTGGAGAACTCTCATGACATTTCACTGAATAATGTCAAGATAAAACCAACTCAGTATTAAAAATGATATTCTTTATCTTTAATAATATGTTTTTTTGTGTTTTAATAATCTCTCTGCCCTCCAAGACACTTCAATGCATCTGTTTATTGCAGTTCTACATTTGAATGAAACCTCTTGAAGTGTGAGGTGTCACTCACGGATCAAAGTCAGAATATTGTGACACTCTACTCTGGAGTGAAAGAACATGTGACATCACACACACACACACACACACACACACACACACACACACACACACGTCTGGTCAGCTATCCTTGTGGGGACTCTCCATAGGCGTAATGGTTTTTATACTGTACAGACCGTATATTCTATTGCCCTACACCAACCCTACCCCTAAACCTACCCCTCACAGGAAACTTTCTGCATTTTTAGATTTTCAAAAAACTTAATTCTGTGTGATTTATTAGCTTGTTTACCCGTGGGGACCTCAATTTAGGTCCCCACCGTGACACAAGTCCCCATGAGTCTGTGTGTATTCAGGTTTAAGTCCCCACCAGAATAGAAAAACAGGTACACACACACACACCGACACTGTCATAGAAGCAGCTCATCAGAAACCATTATCATTTCATAATTAGTGTTCATTACGTCTACAGTGTCACATCTTTCCACATTTTTCAGTTTATTAATTTCTGTCCTTTATGGCTTATAAAAAAAATAACATCTCAACGAGCTGGTAATCTACACTTATGTTTAAAAGTTTGGGGTGAGTAAATTAGTTTACCTTTATTTTTAATAATTTTATTTAACAAGGATGCATTAAATTGTCTAAAAGTGACAGTAAAGGCAAAAGTTCTGTTTCAAATAAATTGTTCTTTTGAACTTTCTAATCATTACAGAATCCAGAAAAAAAGATTTTTCAGTTTCCAGAAAGATTTTAAGCAGTACAACAGTTTTCAACATTGATAATAATAAAAAATGTTTATTGAGCAGCATATCAGCATTTTAGAAGACACTGAAGACTGGAGTAGTGGTTGCTAAAAAGTCAGCTTTGCCATTACATGAATAAATAACATTTTTTAATATATTAAAAAAGAAAACATATATATATATATATATATATATATTGAACTTAAATTGTAATAATAAGCAATATTACTATTTTTACTGTATTTATGATCAAATAAATGCAGCCTCGGTGAGCATAAAAGAAGAAAATCTTACCGACCATTTTTGAATGGTACAGTGTAGATAGAGTATGTGCATTTCATGTCACAACTCATATGTTCAATACCGAGTTGTTTTTTAAAGTATTTTTATGGTTTTCCAAATGTGGCACTTCATAATAATTTGAGAAATTGATAAATCAATTAAGAAGTGTATAAATCAAACAAGGAATCTATGTATATCAATAGAAAATAGTTGAATTCATCAAGTAATGTGGATAAAAAATAATTGGTTTAACGGTATATAAATATTATATTATATTTATTACACTTATTAACAATTTCCTTATTTCATAAATTGCACAAAACAATAAAACTAAAATTAAAAGTTTAAAAGAATGAAAAAAAAATTTAAGCAATGCAGAAAATAATCAATGAAGGAAGAATGTATACAAAAAAATGGTATTAAATGTAATTAAAAATGAACTATATTTGTTTTATTAAGTCACATATTACTTTCTTTATTTTCCTATTATTACATTCTTTATCTATTTGTATTTATATGTATTTTATATATTTATTTACATATTTCTTTTTAAATTTCTGCAGGTTTGGTCCTCCATATAAATCTGTTTTAGAAGTGAGCATAAAAACAATCAAATTGATGAAGGTATCATTTTATATCAAAGGTAATTTTATCTGTGTGGCACAAGCAAGCTACATAAAAAGCTAAAAAAAAAATCAGTGATGATTATGACTCTCTCAACTCACGGTAATAACCAGCAGGATTCCTTTGAGGAGCGTCAGCAGTGACGTGATGGGCTGAATGATGATCTGGGCCAGAAGAATCCCCAATGAGAGCGTCCATGTAAATGCAGGGATCACGTAGACATGACTGCAGAAGCAAAATCAGGCAAACAGTCATCTTATCCCCCACTGTTTTAAATTACAGCTTCAGTAACTTCAAATAATACCAAACCTCTCAAAATTACAGACTACAGCGAGAGGAAATGACAACAGCACAATACAATTGTAAGACAAGTATTCTTTACAATTTCCCTGCAAAACATAGACTTAGTCTCTCTAAATCACATCCTGAATGAGGAGAGGCACATTTCTCCTCTCTAAAGAAAACAACAGGGGGCAGGTAATTGTTTTGAAGTGTCTGTCTCGATCGGATAGAAGTGCTTTCTGATCCAGTGCTCCGTAATACAGTGAACTTCACAAACGCTTCCATTATTTTTATTGCAAAAATACTCTCGGAAGAATAGCACTGTCAAAAAACATATGCATGATACATAACACTGACACTCAAAGGCATGGGACAGTATTTCTTAAAGGACTGTGTGATACACAGTTTTACATAATCAATCAATTTTTATGTGTTTCCCCCATAAAATCTCTTTTCCTCATTGCAAAGTCTTCCCAGCATGCTTTCATATGATGAAATCTCAATGGTTCCATCAATACACTCTTTTAAATCTGAGGTTTTGGGGCATTGCCAATTGCATAATATCATCTTAGCTTCCATAATAGAATCAATTTTTATAAGGGTAAACACATTCTTTGCTACATGAAGGCATGACTATGGTGCCAAGGGCAATTTTGGACCTCAGCCACTTTATTAAGTATTTTGAGAGTTTTGCGCCTGTATTCCTGTAACATTATTATCTATGTTTGTGGACAGAGGTCAAATTCTACTGTCCCAGAGCAAAGCAAACTTATTTATGAACTCAATTCAGCAAGACCACCATATCCCACAGATAAATATGAGTTTTATAATGGATTAAGAGAACTGCGAATACTCTACCAGGGCTGAAATAACCTATTGATTTGTGCTTGCAGGATCACTTTACATTCACTGTCTCGCTCGCTCGTTCTCTCTCTCTTTCCACCCTTGGTCACAGGCATCTGCCTATGATGTGTTCTTAATGAAGCATTTAGCCATCGATGTGGTGCAGGCTGCCTTGAGTGGAAAATTTTCAGGTTAAGTATTTACTGGGGTGTTGCAAAATAAATAACTTTTGTGGCAATAAGTGCAATTACTAAGAAATTCTGCAGGGAACAGTATAGATGTGAAAACCTCTGTGTGAGAACATCAGTTCTCATAGTTGTATAAGGTTTTAATGATTTTACATAGACATTTTATAGAATAAGAATAGACCACAACAAAAATATCCATCTTCACAATTTCATATTATTGCTATAATAAAATAAAAATATATATAATATGATATCCCTAGTGGAAAACAAATATACTAAAATGTATTTGAAATACATTTATTTCATGCTAAGTATACATCAAATACATTTACATATTTATGTACTTAATAAAAATACCATGCAATTGTACTTTTAGTATATTATACTGGTATACTTAAAGCCTGCTAAATTGGAACAACTAATTTTGTACTTAATGCACTTATCTTGCATCTAAAGACTGATATTATTCAAAGATCATGCAATTCTCATCAATAGTGGCATTAAAACACATTTAAGGCTTAACATTAAGAAATGCGCATTGTGCACAAGTAGTACTCCAAATAAAGTTTAATGATAATTTTTATATCAGTAAGTCTCCAGCAATATGTCAGTAACTATGTTAATAGATTTTAACTACATTTAATATGAAATAAAAGTATTTTAAATATATTACTTTTTTACTAGGTATAATATAATATAATATAATATAATTAGGGCTGTCAATAGATAAATTTTTTAAAATCTGATTAATCACATCCTTTTTCTGGGATTAATCGCGATTAATCGCACACTTCATGAAATTAAGCATAGACCATTTATCTTGTTTCAAATGTTTATTTTGTCATCATTTGTTATATCCAGCAAAGTAAACTAAAAGATTGAAGGGTGATTCTCAAAAATCTATATTTTCTGCAAGCTTTTTTCAAGATAAATTTAGATATCTTTCCAAAAAAGGACACTTAGAAACTCCAAAAGAACCTTCATGAAATTAAGCATAGACCATTTATCTTGTTTCAAATGTTTATTTTGTCATCATTTGTTATATCCAGCAAAGTAAACTAAAAGATTGAAGGGTGATTCTCAAAAATCTATATTTTCTGGAAGCTTTTTTCAAGATAAATGTAGATGTCTTTCCAGAAAAGGACACTTAGAAACTCCAAAAGGATACCAAAGAACCAAATGATATAAGGAGCCCATATAAGCACATATGAAAGGAAAAAAAAATCAGAATTTTATAGTATGTGTACAGTGCAACAGCAAAGAGCTTCTTTACATTTTAGAGAAGTCAAGTTACGATACCGAACAGGACGACATGGAGAAGCCAAAAAAACCAACCGCCTGCTTACTGCATATATCAACTACAGTACACGGATCCATTCAGAATAACTAAACACAGCAACATAAACATGACACATCAAAACATGATCGTGAATGTGTGTGGAAACGACGTGAATGTACGGAAATGTCTGTGCCTGTGCATAAATACAATGTGCGATCAGTGCGTCTAGAGCACTCATACACGCATTATTATAACGGACTCACGCTTGCTTACTGTACGACTCCTGTACGCCACCGCAATCGTCTTTACCTTGATTGCAGTCTTCATCCATCAAAACTTTACTAGCGAGACTGGTTATCGTTAGTAGTTTGCGTCTCATCTGGCCATAGAGCGGTGGGATGTGTTGACAATCCGTTCAGTCTGTACTTCACATAGAGCATGTGACGTGTGAGGGCTCGTGCTCTTCAGAGACAATCACAGAATATGACAGAGTTCGTGTTTTAAATCGAAACACACTGGAATTAATAATTCACTTAAAACGCAACGCGAGTCTCTGTTCTCTTCTGCAATCTCTGATTAAATATAATATAATATAATATAATACACTCCAGCATCACTGCAACCATACAGTATAAGCAGTTTGGAGAATGGCTGGATGTATAATATAATATAATATAATATAATATAATATAATATAATATAATATATAAATTAATTTTTTCTTATGATAGAAGGGAATTGATCAATAAGTTGCACACAATCTTGGTGCTGTTTATTTGTCTGAAATAAAACGCTGAAAGCACTATTATTGTGTGAAATAGCACTGAAATATACGAAAGTAGCACAGATGTCTATTGAATTCTCATATCTAATTTCTACAACCTGAGGTAAACAAAAACGCTCAAGAGAACTAAACACGATCTGAGATACGATTCAGTCAGAACTTGTAATTTTACTATTGACGAGTCGTAGCCTTGAGTTTGGGGCGCAAAAGGAATTCACAACAGAAAAAACAAACAAACTATCAATAAATTGTATACAACTGCACATACATTTCTAATGCTTCTGACATATTGATACTGCCCTCTGATATTTAAGATTCTAGGCTTTTACCGTTTTCTGACTGACCGAGTCCATTTTCATCAGTCTGTCACCTTTGCGGCCCACAGTTCTCTGAATACCACAAAAAGAGGATCAACTAACCAATCAATAAACTTCGTCTCTGCATTTTTCTGAAATTTTTAGAACTTCATTAGCACGTTTACTTGGGTGGATTTGCCACTGATGTGAAAATGTTTTTTTTACTATGCTACGAGTCTTAAAGCTGCTTAAGGAAGAAAAAAGCGACAAACAGGAATGATACAGAAAGAAAGCAATAATGACCTAGATGGGAGTACTGACAGCACACATTTGTTTGTGACAACCCACTCCCTGCAGGCTGGAGACGCCCATCCCACCATCCCCACATCATGAGCCAAAGCTAAACGTGGAAGTCGTGGCCTAATGGTTAGAGAGTCGGACTCGTAACACAAAGGTTGCGGGTTCGAGTCTCGTACTTGCAGGGATTGTAGGTGGGGGGAGTGAATGTACAGCACTCTCTCCCACCTTCAATACCACGACTGAGGTGCCCTTGAGCAAGGCACCGAACCCCCAACTGCTCCCCGGGCACCGCAGCACCCACTGCTCCGGGTGTGTGTTCACGGTGTGTGTGTGTTCACTGCTGTGTGTGTGCACTTTGGATTGGTTAAATGCAGAGCACTAATCCCAAGTATGGGTCACCATACTTGGCCACATGTCATGTCACTAAACAGAACGAGACTATGATTCTTTGCACAATGAGACTTCTTTTGATGCTCTAAAATAAAGCTGCTCCATATCCCTAAAGAAAAACGTGAGAGCTGTCTGGCATATTAATAATTTATTATAAAACAATTTTATTTGGTTTGATGCAACCATATACTGTATGGTCTATGAAACAGCTCATCATTTCCCCACTGTCATGTTGTTCAAAACTTATATGACAAAAGGAGACATTTTAAAGGGGTCATATGATGCGATTTCAAGTTTTCCTTTCTTTTTGGAGTGTTACAAGCTGATTGTGCATAGATAAGATCCCTGAAGTTGCAAAGACTAAAGTCTCGAAACCAAAGAGATATTCTTTATCAAAGTTAAGACTCTGCCACGCCCCCCTAAAACGGCTCGTTCTAACACGCCCCCACATAATGATCTTTAAAAAAGCATCATATGACCCCTTTAAAGAATGTTCAAGCTGCTCTTTTCCATACACTGATAGCCAATGGTGACTAATTGCTTTCAATCTTTTAAAATATAAAGCATAATGAAAATTGTCTAAATGACCAAGTCTTCAGAAAATACATAAATTTAAGTCCGTATTCACTAAAAATCTAGAATCTTATTCATGTTTGCATATTCAAATATGGTGTGTGACTTGACTTGACAGTGTCGCTGGTTATAAGTCACTTGAGAACCAATCAAAATGCACCAAATTTGCAAATGCACTATTCATATAGCACAAATGAGAACTGCTATAGAGTGATTTGGGGGTGTTTTTTTGTCGTTTTTGGAGCTTGACACAGCCCCTGGTCACCATTTACTTTAATTGTATTGATATGCGAGTATGAACAGCCTTTTCATTTTGTGTTTTACTTACAAAAAAAACATGGATTTTCATGAATCATCTAATGGACTCATCAAACTGAGCTTTATCTCTGTTGTCAGTATAAACTCGAGTCCCATGAGTCCTTTCAAAAGTTCACCTAAAGCATAATGACTGTAAAAGCTACATTTCTATCCTGATGATAATCTATCTCAAAGCACCAAAAGGTAATTTAACTTGAAACATGGTGATTTATTATTTATGTGTGTGGGAATTGAATGCACTAGGTTCAGAACTATATATAAGATCGATTGATTTCCTTCCTCACATAAAGCTCTGAATGATAAACCTATTTGCTATTGAATTTGTCTCAAGTGGGTGTTTTTTTCTGAAAGTGTGTTGCGTTTTAATTAAAATGAAAAACCGTCAGGTTAAGAGGTTCAAATAGCTCAAGGGCAAACAATACAGCAACAGCGGCTTGGATCCAAGGATCATTTCTGTATGGAAAACGTATGACTAGGATAGATGGTCTGTATCCAATAAATACTTGTTTACAGCACAGTTTTTCAATGATTAATATTAATGATATTCTCATTATTTTCTTAAAGGTGTCCTAATTTTATTATTTTTCCCTGTGGTCCACTTACAATGTAATTCAACTTTTATCATAGTGAACGCAATCATCATTTTTCAAGACCATTATCTGACCTTCAATTATTTAAGGATGAACTGTTTATTTTTCATCTTAGCCTTAATAAATGGTCTTTTGGAGGAAGTTGTAGACTTGATTAAGCTAATCTGATTTATCTTTCCAAACCTTATTCATTTTTAAATTGAAAATGCACTTTTTATTTTCACAAACTACATCAAAACAAAATGTTAGAGGCATCAGAAATAAAACGTACTGAAAAGAAAAACAGCAAAACTTGAGCAGGTTGTAATTATGACCATTCCTTACTCGAATTACGACACCGTATGCTGCGTTTGGAGAGGATCCCGAGTCTGCTTATTCAATTTTTCATGTTTACTTCCTGTTCTCAAACGGAATACTAATGTGTGCGTGAGGTTTCTCAGACCTTTTTCATCACTCAGTGAATAAGTCACCTGTAATTAATGCAACAATGACATGAAATGACATGAAATTTCACACACAGTTTATTTAATTAACTACAGAACTCTCTCTCTCTGTTGTGCAGCTATAGTGCATATCCCCCCTCTCACTCAGACTTTCTTATTCCCTCCTCACTAGTATCTACTAAAATAGTAAAAAGACTGAAGATTTCAACACATTCAACAGAAGCACGTACGTGGTGCTAGGTTTAATAAAATGCAGTCGCTATACAGTGACTGCTGGGTTATTACTTTGAGAAAATTATAAACTGGCTGTCGAGGCTGGGTGATTAATATCTGCTTGTTTTTTTTACAATCTTAATTGTCATAAGATCTCATTTAAATGAGAAGTGTCACATAAGTATTAAGTATGACATCTGTTGAATTTATTTCAACATTGAGCAGCAAATCAGCAAATTAGAAGGATTTCTGAAGGATCATGTGACACTGAAGACGGGAGTAATGATGCTGAAAATTCAGCTTTGCAATTACATGAATACATTACCTTTTAAATAATATCAAAATAGAAAACATTTATATTAAATTGTAATAATATTTTACAATATTGCTATTTTTACTGTATTTTCGATCAAATAAATACAGCTTTGGTGATCATAAGAGACTTTTTAAAACAAAAAAATCGTACTGACCCCAAACAGTATTGAACATCCAAACACTAATTAATTTACATAAAATAATAAAACTCCGGAAGTACACAATGCTATGTTGCTTACCATAACCTGGTCATTTGGGTGCCAACATAGATATGAAACAGCTGTTATTCAACAATCTTCCAGATATGAAAAGTTGTTTAGATTAGTTCTCTCACAATACATCACAGAGAAGAAAAATGCGCTTGTGTTTTTGCTGAGAGAAGCTTTAGGAGATCAAACACCCCACAGGCACGATCTAATGAGAGAATTTTCAGCCCTAACAGCGTTTCTAAACATTACTTACACTGAGGCCATGATTTGACTGACAAGCAGAGAGTAGAAAATCTGGGGTTAAAATTGAACATCTAGAGAATGAACAATATGATTGACTAGGTGTCTTTCTTTGAGATAACTGAATAAATAAATTAAAGCCCTAATGTTTGATGAAGGCATACATGAAAAGAAAGCATATGCATTTATTTCATCTGGCTGAACAGAAACGGGTTATTGTTTAAATGCAAACCTGCTCTTAACATTTAATATCTTAACTGTTACATTAAAGGTTGCACTGTAAGGCAGCTCACCTTGTATGAAAAAGTGCAGCGTAGGCCTCACTTCCCGCCAGGACGTAACTGATCCCGATAGACACACTGTTAAAGAAAGTTCATTATCAGCACGCGTTACAATAATGACACAGTTTCATATTCATGAGGAGCTGTCACGGGAATCAAACAGGAACCTTTACTGCGCCAACTCAAAGATGGACAAAGACAGATGTTTAATCTTTTTCAATCTTTTGACTACTGAAAGTCATGAAACTTCTTCAAACTTTTAAATTTCATCCATGTTAAAACATTTTACATGTTCAGGAATAAAGATCAACCTTAAAGTGGATTTTGGTATAATGTGTGATGGTTCAGATTTTTGTGTGTGATCGTTGTGTGTGATTTTCACCGTTTTGAAGAAAAGTTGGATAAGCCTTGGGCTTGCTATTAAGAAAGTCATAGTAAGAAACTGATAAAACGTATAACATTTTTGTTAAATAATAATAATAATAATAATAATAATAATAATAAGAAGAAATCTAACGTATACAAGAGGTGCCTACGCACCTTCGGTGCTTGGCCCCTAAAAATAATAATAATAATAATAATGTATTTATTTATTTAAATTAAAAAATTCAAATAATGACTATGACAGCTACAAACAAACTGAAAGTGAACTGGAAGTGAAAAAAATTCTACTCAGAAAAAAAAGATTATAAAGAAGAATTTTGAAAAAGTCTCAAAATATATAAAACCAAAATACCAAAAATAGTAAGTTAGATAGCCAAATTGGCTGATAAAACCTATAAAATAAGCCTAATTTACTTACAATAATTACTAGTTTGGTAATGACATCTTGAAACAAACATCAAATCAATAAATAATAAATACATTGCATTAAAATAAATAAATATATTAAATGATGGTAGTCATCAATCAATAAATAAATGAATAAAATACAAATTGTATTCATAAATACAAAAGTAACAAAGCATTTGATTATAGAGTTTAGAATTTAGAATAAAATATAAAATGTCTCAAGATACATAACATCAAAATACAAAAAAAATCACAGCATGCTCTTTTTTTAAAATTGTATTTATTTATTTTCTTTTTAAAGCAAACTCTCCTAATTTAAAAATCACAAATGATAACTTTTCAGAATCTCTCAGTATCTGGCACAAACGTATCATTGAATGTTGAAGCTCTGAGTGAGTCAGTCAATCAGTCAATGTACAAAAGGCGGTTGTGTGCCAGTATGAAAGAACTACAGAAGGAAACACATAGGAGAAGAGGGAAAGAGAAACCTTGACTTGCACCATCATACAGGACAACACAGTGTGGATCTGTGGTCCTTGACTGGTTAGAGAACGCAATCTGTCATGGAGGCACATTGATCGAGTGCTAAGCCTCTTGAACACAATGAGCAGAGAATCGATTGGATGTGTGTTAGCCAAACCTGCCTAAATGCTGATAACAAGCTCTTTTCCATTCAGTTGCACGACCGGGCATGCAGAGCAGCGCAACAAATGATTCACTGTTAAGTGTCAAAGGCATTTCACAGTAATGACCACTGATGCCCTTAGTGCATTGCTACTCTTATTTCCCCAGCAAAAATCCAAGCAAAACTCATGCATTTTGGATTCTGTATTTAGTTTTGCAATATCATCCATAGAGGACACAGGTACAGCAGTCACAATGTCAACGTGGGCAGAACAAATCAATTTTGCTTGAAAATCTATCAAAGAAATTGATTTATGCTGGTTAAAACTTACTTTAAAGCCCTCCAAAACTTTAAATTGGGCTAAAAGATGAAAAATAACTGGGGAAAGGCTACATTTCTAACATAGGCTAATTAATAATGGCCCATTTAAAGACGAACAGATGGGCAGCCATATTGGAGACTAGTACAAAAAGCAGCTGACCATTATTTCATTATTCTGCACCATTTTTCCAGAGGTGAAATGTTAAAACTGTTGTTCGGGGCAATACTGACATTTCACACATAAATAACACTGCATTTTATGGCGGTCTAGAGAGCATAACATGGATTAAAACCTACTTAATGCTTTGATCCAGTGAGGATGTTTGTGTCTGTACCTCGTCAGCGGAGAGGAGCAGTTCTTAACTGCGTCTCAGTGACTTCATTAACCTTTTTTTTTTTTTATCAAAAACTAAATGAGACGCTCTGCTCAGTCTAATTGAAGGGGTTCAGTGACATTTTAGCGAAGCGCTTTTGTGACAAGTTTATGAGACTGTTCTTCACAGAATCTTGTTTTAATGGCGAATCCTGTAATAAATGCAAATACCTGAGAATGGCTGATGTCACGTGGCACCTGCTGGTAGTTTCTTTTAGTGACCAGAAAAGGAAATATTGTAAAATTGTAGCGCAATTGGGCTTTATTATGTTTTCTGTTGTTGTTTGCAAGCCTTTTATGGAAACATCTATAATTGCCTCTATAAAAAACCCCCAATGATAATAGGCAATGAGAAAAACAGATTTATGATGTTCAAAGCATTGTAATAACGTCAAAAGAACATAATTTTGATGCTATTTCAGGAAGACATGTCCCTTGTGACTGAACAAGCATTTTACATTTTATAAAGAATGATTTACATTTTTCCTTTCTGTAAATCAACACATTTTGCAGCATCTTGTGCATCTATTACAAGCGAGGAATATTTATTTATACATAATATTTGTTCTGGATTAATTTTTTTAATTTTTAAATGTGTATTTTTTTATTATTTATATGATTTTGTGCATATATTTGAATATATCTCAGAAAACCTTATATAATATGCATGAATATGTGTGGTCCTTAAACAACGCTTTTGCTAATAAAGAGGACAGGAAATACATGCTGCTTCTAAATAAATTAAAGCTAAATTAAGGAAATACATGCTGCTTCTTTTCACGCTAGCAGCTTCTCTATGAGCTAATGATACCACAAAGCACTCTTATACAAAAAGAGCTTTTTATACAAAAAGAGCTTTTGACTCGGAGCCAGTTCAACATTAACGTGAGCTCACAATGCCAACATCATGTTAGAACAAAATTTAAGAGCCCAACAAAAGTACAATAAGTTTACAGTTCATGGCAAATTACAAGTCTTAGTATCAAAGCTCTATGTGAAATTTATGAATGCTGTCATGTGTTTCAAGGCTATAAGCTCTCTCCTCTATACAGCCCGATGGTGTCCAAAAGTGCATGACTCATCTTTGCATCACTGGGAATAATGTTGAAAGGTAAAAAATTAAATGAGATGGGCTAGATTGTATACCAGAAACTATGTAACACATAATGAAAAATATATTTTAGTTTAGTATCAAGGGTGCAAATTATGGGGTGAGGGGTGAAAGGTGGTTTTACTGCTTTTATTAAAGCTTGCACCAGGCTGGATGGGGGGCTTGGTGGTGCTCTAGCTGGCGGATACTCATGCTATTCACTTTCAAAACTCAAACAAAAAAATTATAACTAATGGTAATCTAAATGAACTGGTTTTATTAAAGGGGTCATATGATGCTGCTAAAAAGAACATTATTTTGTGTATTTGGCACAAAAATAAATAACAATATTTAGCATCACTGAATCAGCCTAAATACATTAATTTACACCTTACACCTACATTTGTATGGCTTAAATCAGTTAAAAATGATCTTTAAAGGAATAGTTCACCTGAAAATGAAAATTTGCTGAAAATCTACTTATCCTCGATTTGGAGAAATTTAGCATTACATCACTTGCACGCCAATGGATCCTCTGCAGTGAATGGGTGCCGTCAGAATGAGAGTCCAAACAGCTGATAAAAAGATCACAATAATCCACAAGTAATAATGCACACGACTGCAGTCTATCAATGAATGTCTTCTGATGTCAAAATTGCAAGTTTGTAATAAACAAATCTTGCAAGACATTTTAAATTTCAAACCGTCGATTCCAGCTAAAATACGAGTCCTCTATCCATAATATTGCTTTTCTCAACGAGAATATTGTCTCATCTAAACAAAAAAGACATATGCACAGATCAAGCACTGTTTACAAGCGGAAATAGTTCTAAACAAATATGTTGGTGTGTGTTTCGATGTGTAGACAGGGGATGGACTTTTTCACCAGATGAAGCGGTATTATGGATTATGGACTGGAATTGTGGCCAAAAGTGATGGTGTTAGAATGCTTTAATGAAGGATTTGTTTCATACAAACATGCAGCTTTTCGCTTCACAAGACGGACTGGAGTCATGTGGATTACTCTAATGTTTTTTTTTTGTTTGGTGTCTCATTCTGACAACACCCATTCACTGCAGATGATCCATTGGTGAGCAAGTGATGTAATGCTAAATTTCTCCAAATCTGTTCCAATGAAGTAACAAACTCGAGTACATTTTCAGCAAATTTTCAGTTTTGGGTGAACTATTCTTTTATGTTAACAGTTACAATTTAGAACATTTTACAGTGTAGTGAAGCTATTCTTCAACCATTGATTTTTCTGGTGAAACTTGATAAGCAGCCTTGACATAAGCACGCTAAGCAGAGACTAGCATACAAAGCAACACCATATGCTGGTGGTCAGCTATGCCAGCAGGACATTTTAGCCCTCAAACGTTTTGAATGAATCAGACTCACAATTGAAAGAGCAGAACAAAGTCGAATGCACGGCTGGTGTGTTTGCCCAGGAAGAGAACTCCCAGCACGTGCAGATTTGGCTGAAGGTCCTCATCTTGCCTCCGTGCTGTGACGTCCCTTTGCAGAAGACCCATATCTACAGAGAAAAACACACAGGGAAGCATTTTATCACCATCCATCTCAGAGACATAACCATGGAGGAAACAGAAGTATAACTTCAGTTAGAATGAAACATGTCAGCACTTACAATACTGGAAAATTTGACTTGGCCCTATAAGCGTCCCCTAAAGAAGACCCCTTTTTTTCCCATAGGAAGCAGTCATTAGTTGACAGCATTTGCTGCCCAGTGGCCAGAACGTTGGTGCCTGCGCCCCCATGTCTGCCACAGATGAGCAGAACCATCCTTCAACCCCTCCGAGGTGCCACACATCACCCCCGACGTGAAGTTCTGCCACAATAATAATAATAATAATAATGCATTTTATTTAATGGCGCCTTTCAAAACACCCAAGGTCACCTCACAAGCAAGCAAAGATAAAAATAAATACAAATCACTACACAATAAAAAACACACAACAAACACTCCACATATACAGATAAAGTGCAGTAAAGACTCAATAAAACATTATAAGAAAGCCTGTATAAAAAGATATGTCTTAAGACGCGTTTTAAAAGTCAGCAGGCAATCGCTGTTGCGAATATCAGGTGGAAGTGAGTTCCATAGGCGGGGGGCAGCATAGCTAAAAGATCTGGCACCCATGGTAGTTAGTCGAATCCTTATTATCAGAAAGATGTTCATGAATTTGAATTGCAATACACTTTTCCACTATCTTAGAGATAAACGGTAAATTTGAAATTGGACGAAAATTATCAAAGTTAAATGGATCAGCCCCTGGTTTCTTAATAATACCAATACCATGCCACTTACAGTGCCGCTGTACGAATTTCACACGCTAAATAATGAATCGGTGGAGAGATAAATGTAAGAAAAGGAGGGAAAACAAAGATGAATGTTTGAAGGCCAGAGATCAGAGAAGTTTGCAGCAGTGAGGAATCAAATTCGGAACAGCAGGAATAATTCATACTGCACTCCTCTTCAGTCCACAACACAGCAGGCTGCAGGAGCAGACACACTCCCAGCCAAACCCTTCAGCAACACTCACACTCCCATTATGCTGCACACACCCAGGTTAGCATATATCACTCTCTTTCTAAGGCAGCGCTACTCTCTTCACTGGTAAACAAGAGAGTCTCCATGCTGTCTAGAACAAGAGCAGCTTATGTCAAGTACAAGAGGAAAACACACTTTTACCACCATGAATATTCTCAACGTTTGTATGGAGAACAATAAATAAATAAATATTTGAATATATATTTAACCATTCTAAAATAAATAGTTAAAATACATAATAAAATAATTATAAAAATACAGCTGTAAGTAACAAATATAAACAAATATGCAATTATAAACACAGACTATTTTTTTCATAAATATCAATATATAATTGCTAATCTGAATGTATAGTTATACATCCAAATATGTAATAAATAAATAAATAGTAATTTTAGTAAATAAATAGTTATTTTAAATTGCAATTATATTAAAACAGTATTACTGGTTTTTATTGTATTTTTGTCTTGGTGAGCATAAGAGACTTCTTTCTAAAAACAATAAAATAATCTTACTGACCCCAAAATTTTGAACAGTAGTTTAAAATGTAAAACAGCAAAATATTAAACAAATAACTTAAAAAAAAAACACTGAAAATTATTAAGAATAGCCTGGTCCCAACAACAAAATTAAACTTTTTGGTTAAACATGTACCATCGTCAACTGCAGTCTTGTTGTCTATGATATTGTTTAATTGTGTTTTTATTTACAAAAGTCCTATTATAAAGATGACTATGTAGGAATAGTCAAAATTAATCCTAATTTAAATATTACATAGTTTCTTAAATATCCCTCCTCTCTCTCTCTCTCTCTCTCTCTCTCTCTATATATATATATATAAAACTCCAGAATTTCTACTTAAGAGGAGACCGATGGAAATACAACAAGAAAAAGACACCATTGTTCTGAAAGTAATAAATGGTGCTGCGCTCAGTATTACTTCACATTCACCTGTCTGTGCTGATCTCCCGAGGGACGAATAAACACAGACACCTAACAGATGTTACATATAATTCTGTTGACACAAGCGCCATCAATATTATTATATTTAGTCAGAAATAGATGTGAATTAAAAAAATACATGGTGCAGAAAACATTCATCTGGATGCGTTTCTAACTCCGACTCCGACTAAAACAGAGCGCTCAAAAGTATCGCAGAGTTTCTACTTTTCATTAGGATGACAAATCACTTTCCAAATCGTTTATGTCAGTCAGCCACCAATCTCCCTAATGATGCTTTGGCACGCAATCTGATTGGATTTTTTTACATTAAGTTAAGACTACTGTACCTGTACGGCACAAATGACAAGGGAATGGGCTGTGGAGAGTAGCCGGCTAGAACATTAATTTCTGAGAGGGACCCATCTGCTTGCAGAAAGGGACGGCCAAGTAATTAGGATCGAGAGCTGCTAGAGCTCAACACCTGTCATAGATATGTTGCGGCTCTGAGTGTGTGTGTGAGAGAGAGAGAGAGAGAGAAAGAGAGATCAGCACAGAAACATCATTATGCCGGAGGTGAATTTAGGAGGGTGAATGTGCATCACAATGACAGTCTCCACTGCTGCCAGCTCAGTCAGACGTCCACCTACTGTTAGATAACAATTAGAGACGCGCAACACTCGGTCAGCCTCCACACAAACACCTTAATATGCCATTTCCCAAAGCAACTGTGCACCATGAAATCACAACTGGAGTTTTATGGCTGTTACCTCTGAGGCCATCTATATGCTAGACACTCCTAAAAGTTCACAAAACAAACTTTTAAGAGATGCAGAGGCCCCAAAAAGCGTTTGAGCAGTTTATACACGTGTATATATATATATATATATATATTTTTTTTTTTTTCTGGGCTAATTAATGTAATATTTGCAGCTTTTATCTTTCAAGAAAACGAACCAAAATCCATCTCAGATTATTCAATAGCATATCCTGAGCTGTGAAAGCCAGCAGACAAGGGAAAACAAAAGACCATTTTACACTTTTTTTTTTTTTCTTACAAAAATGCATTTTGTCAGAATGCATGGCTACTTTTGAATGGCTGTCAGTGGAGAAAGGCACTTTTTGTGACCAGATGGTGTAGATACAGTGTCTACCAGCATGAGCGGACTGGGTTATGATGTAAACTAGGCTTTTGGCTATTAAAAGACAAGAACAAAGCCTTCGTTATGTTCCAATGTACTGTTTCAACTGGAAATACGTCAACACAGGAAAGAAAATTTGTCAAGCCATTTCAAAGCTTGCTCAGACAGGCATCTAGCATCCAAATGCCGCCCCCAATGTCTATTTACTGCCCATCAATCAAATCTGGAATGTAATTATGTTTTCAAGTTAAAAATGCAAGTTCTTCACACAAATTAGCCCAACATACTGAATAAATGTCCTGCTGTAAACTTGGAGCAAGACCTAACAATATTTCCCTTCTCAAAAACCTACTTGTACAAGATGGAAAGAGTAACATGCAAGTCACACCAAAAAGAAACATGAATATTTCAAAACAGTTGTCATCATGTCTATCCCTGAAAATGTAGGATGACAGCAAGTCTTGAGGGAAAGACTGTGATAGGAAAAGTGAGAGAAAGAGTGGGAGAGAGAAAAAAAGTTTGTCTGGCTAAAAAAAAAAAAGAGCTTTGTAACTTGATATACTTCACATCAGAGTTGTTGACGCTTTCTGTGGAATATAACACTGTGTGATAAATCTTACAGATCATCAGCAAAGCTCTCCTTGTCTAGGTGGCTTTTCCGTAAAGAGATTCTTAGAGGGAGCTTTTCCAAGAGGTCCAGTGGTCAGGATCATATGACCATAAATAGCACTGTGGACTAAACGGCTGTTTCTGTAAGATGCATTTAAAGCAGACATCTTAGCAGTTCAAATGGACATAGAAAAAGTGGCTGCTGATGAACCAGTGCTGCAATATAAAAACATAAAATCTATTTTTTTTTTAATCTTTAAAATATATAGATTTGTCCTATAATTTTAACAAGTTTTAGAAAAGCAAAATGTAAACTATTTAAATAAATACATTTGATATGATCATGTATATAAACCAGTCATATAATATAGTAAATTTAATGTTTTAATATATATAAACAAAATACATTTTAAATAAATAACTAAAGAGAGTTTAAACTAACTGAACTTTAAAGAACTTTAAAGATACAGTATTTGTCATAACGCTCTAATTCTCACAAGACAATAATGTATTTGCAAAAACAATGGCACACTGAAATTACTATGATATTTTATATTTATCAGCAAAATCACTGTAAATATGCTGTGAATATTAACTATATGACCCAGCTCTACTGCGTACTAGCTGATACGTGGATGAAATGAGTGGCGACTGCAATAAAGAGACCAGTGGGAGTGCTCAAACAAATTACCACTACATTTTGCTTTTGGACACAGTCTGTTTGTCAGCACACAAGTGTAGCCAGGCCCTGTGTCTTTAGTCTTTGCTGAGCACGCTCTCAAACCAGCTACAGTTTGCTATTGCTTAGAATCCATCACAGTTGTTGAGCCATTTAGGCATACAAGGCAGGATCAATGCAATAATAAAACCAATTCATGACAACAATGATAGCCAAAAGGTAACCAAGCAACATTGCGATAAAAAGCAAGACCTTGTACACCTTTGTATGAAGACAAAAAAGCCCAACATTCTTTTGCAGACTGTTATGTATGAGAAAAAGCAATGCACACAAAGCAGCCAACATAACAATGAGACCTTAGTGGTGGTGTGCCAATCAATAAGAAACAAAAAAGTGGAAGAACAAAGTGAGAAGTGTCATGTATGTAAACCACTCATATAAACTGAATGAAAATGTTTTATTTGAAGGAAGAGTTATTATGAATTATGGACAAATATTGACAGCCAATCAGTGATGGTTTAATGTTAAAAAACATCTTAATGGTGTATTTGTTTCTTACAAACATGCAGGATTATTGTGATTTTTTATTTTTATTT